CAGTTAAACTTCCAAAATTAAACATAAATTAATTTTACGGTGAAACAACATTATGACTTGAATTTTGGAATCAATTTCAAATCGCAAACCATGAAAACGAAAGTTTAACTGAGGTACAAAAATTTACTTATTTAGAAAGCTTACTTGGTGGAATTGCATTAAATGCTATTAAAGGATTTGATTTGACTAAAGAAAATTATATGAAAAGTATAGAATTGTTAAAAGATAGATTTGGGCGCGAAGATTTAGTGATTAATAGTTATATGAATCGTCTATTAAATCTTGATCCTGTAAAAAATTCTAGTGATATTAGAGCATTACAGAATTTATATGATAATTTAGAAGTAAACATTAGATCTTTAGAAAGCTTAAATGTAGTCTCTGGAACATATGGACACTTATTATGCCCTATATTATTAAAATGAATACCAGAAGATTTAACTTTAGAATTTAACCGCAAACGAAAATCAAAATCAGAATTTAATGTTTCAGAATTAATTCAATTTATTAAGGAAGAAATCCAAGTACGCGAATCATCTACATTATTCCATGATAATGCTAAGAAAAATGAACACTATAATTATTATAATTCCTAGGAAGTAATAAATAACAAAAAACAGTTCAGATCGAATATTCCCACAGCTTCAGCATTGGCTACTAATGTAAAATTTAATTGCGTATTTTGTAAATCAGAACATGATTCATTTATTTGTGAAAAAATGTTGGTTTCTGAAAAAAAGAGATAGATTAATACGAGAAGGTCGTTGCTTTAAATGTTTCTGTAAATCACATTTAAGTTCACAATGTAGGAGTAAAATTGGTCCTTGTAAAAAATGTAATAGTAAATCATCATTTGATATAATAAAGGCGAGTATAAGCAATAAAAAATTTTCTACTCGAAGGTCAGAGTTCGAATTATTGGTTACAAGTACCGTAACACGTGCTTCTTTCCCACCGCATAATAATAAAATAAAGTTGCTGCTTAAGGATTTTGCGCTTACTGATTCATGTCTTTCGAAAGGAATAAATTCCATTGATATATTAATTGGAGCAGATTATTATTGGAAACTCCACACTGGGTACATAAAGGAGTTGACTAAAGATTTGTTTTATGTCGAAACATTACTCGGAGGAAGCATAACTGGGATTACTCATTCAGATTTAAAAAATGACTATCATTGAAAATTTGTGTTATTGTAAGGAAAAATTTAATTGTGAGGGATTAACTGGTGAAAATAATTCTTGTGATATAAATTTACAGTTACGGAAATTTTGGGATATTGAAAGCTTAGGCATAAATGATAAAATTCAGAATACACCTTTGGAGCAAGAAACTTTAAAACAGTTTGAACAAAATATAAAATTTCAGGATGGCTGATATGTGGTTAAATTACCATTTAAAGATGAAGTAAACATTTTTGATAATTTTAATTTATCTAAAAATAGGTTAATTAGTTTAACATCGCGTTTCAATAAAAATCCTTCTTTGCATGATAATTATGCTAGTATTTTTAAAAAACAATTATCGAAAGGAATAATAGAACCTGTTAATGATAAATCAATAGTTCCAAATATGGTTTATTACTTACCTCATCATCCAGTAATTAAAAATGATAAACAAACTACAAAGTTACGGATAGTTTTTGATGCCTCGGCTAAAGAAAAAAATTGCTACTCTCTAAATGATAACTTATTATCGGGTCCCAATCTAACCCTAATCTTTTAATTTTACTATTAAAATTTCGCGAGTTTAAGATAGGAATAATTGCTGATTGTGAAAAGGCTTTCCTACAATTGTTAATTGATGAACATGATAGAGACTATCTTAGATTTCTTTGGTCAGAGCAATTCCCTCCCAAGAAAATTGAGGTTTTTCGCAATAGAACCGCAACTTTCGTAGTGAAATCATCAACATTTTTACTGGCTTGAACAGTAGAGTATCATATCAAAAATTATAAAGAATCTCATCCTTTGGCGTGTAAGGTTTTGAATGAAAATTTGTATGTTGACGATCTTATTACTGGTACAAATACGATTGAAGATGGACTACTATTATCCAGGGACACTAAATTAATATTAAAGGATGCATCAATAAATCTTAGGAAGTGGAAGAGTAATTCTAAGGAGTTATGCCAAAAATGGCAAGACACAAAATTTGAAAAATATCCTAGTAAAGAAACAGTACCTTTAAAAGTTTTAGGATTCATTTGGAATACTTTAAAGAATTAATTTAATTTAGATTTAAGTTCCTTAATTGATTTTTTGGAAAATGTGAAAAATACTAAGAGAAGCGTATTACGCATATCATCAAAACTATTTGATCCAATGGGATATACAACAGCATTCGCGATTAGAATTAAAATTCTTCAAGAAATATGGGAACAAGGCTTAGAATGGGATGAGGAATTCGGAGATATTTTAAGACTGAAATGGGAAAAATGGTATAAGGAAGTAAATGTATTAAAGGAACTTTCACTACCAAGATATTATTTTCATGAAGAAGATAGCTGTTCCGAAGTAGGGAATTATAAGATAATTATATTTTGCGACGCAAGTGAGAAGGCATATGGAGCGATTGCATATATTCGATATGAAAGAAATCAAAATTTTTACGTATGCTTCGTTTCTTCAAAGGCACGCGTTGCACCATTAAAGAAGTTGAGTCTACCAAGATAAGAGCTGGTGTCCACTCGTATAGGTTCCAGACTATTGGATACTTTAAGGAACATGTTTCAAATAAATAACTACTATATTCTGACTCAACCATAGCCCTTAGTTGGATTCAAGCAGGGGTGATTGTGCTCCGGAAAAAATCCGGATTTCCGGAATTTTCGCTAACAGTGATCTGGAAGTTTCCGGAGATCGAAGGTCCAGACGTTTCAAAATATCATTTATCACAGAAGTTTCTGGAAATCAAATTTTCAAAGGTGGAACTTAAAAACACAGTTTATTTTATTTGTTTGTAAGGAAGAGCCAGAGAGATACTTTATAAGCTTATATTCATGATTAATATTCATTTTTTATCAGTAAATAGTTGTCATAATCATAAACTCAAGAAAGAAAGACATATTTGTAAATTTTAATTACTTCTCCAGGTCATCATAGCTATGTGTAAATGGTATAGGTACGTGTAAAATTTTAAAAATATTTTAAGTAAATTAAGAAATATAGGAAAAAAACCTTGTTTAAATCTTTTTCAATTTAAACTATTTTTTGTTGTTTTTTTTAACTCAAGAAATTTTCCGGAATTTTGACTTGGGCTCACAATCACCCCTGTTCAAGGAAATGCAAATCAGTGGAAGACATTTATTTCAAACAGAGTAAGTGAGATCCAAACTTTAACAGATCCTACTAATTGGAAGTACATAAAGGTAAATGATAATCCAGCTGATATCATATCAAGAGGATGCAGTGCTAATGATTTACTCTCAAGTGCAATTATTATTAATGGACCAACATGGTTGACATTAAGCGAAGAAAAATGGCTGAAAAATGAAGAAAATTTTAAAAGAGCAGATGTAGATGAAGAAAAGAGATCGAAATTTATTGCAGTTAATTATGCAAGTGAAAATAATGTTCACAATTCAAATTTCGATATCCAAAAATTTTGTTCTGTTAAGAAGATTTTCCGAATAACAGCCTGGATTAGAAGATTTAGGGGCCGTTCAAAAAGTACGTACATCCCGAAGGGGGGGAGGGGATTTGCTATTTTGTACGGTTTTGTATGACGGGGAGGGGGGAGGTATTATACAAAGTACGTACATAAAGTTAGGAGTTATTGTTTAAATAATTTAAATTAATCATTTATATTAAATAAATATTTAATTTTATTTAAAACATAATTATTTTAATTTTTATGAAAAAGGGGGGAAGACTAATAAAATGTACGTACTCTAAGGGGGGAGTAAGACCTTCTGTACGGTTATGTACAAAGGGGGGGAGGGGGTTAAAATTTCTCCGATTTTGTGTACGTACTTTTTGAACGGCCCCTTATAACGAATTTGAGAGTTAAGAAAGAATATAAAATCAAAAATGTTTTAACTGCAGAAGAATTAGAAGAAGCTGAAAACCTTTTGTTGAGACACGTACAAGCAAAGAACTACAGTAAGGATATAGATTGCTTAAAGGAAGGACAACATTTACAGAAGTGCTCAAAAATCAGAGACTTAAATCCGTTCATTTCTGACAAAGGGATTATACTTGTGGGTGGAAGACTACAGCACTCCAATTTGAACTATTATGAAAAACATCCTATACTATTACCATCAAAAACAAAATTTACAGAACTGATAGTGAAAGAAGCACACGAAAAGACCCTACACTCTGGTGTTTCAAACACATTAACACAGGTACGAGAGAAATTTTTGATTCCGAAAGGTAGGCAATTTATTAAGTCAGTAATTGGAAGCTGCGTCTTATGTAAAAGATTCAATGTTCGATCAGGAAGTGAAATTATGGCACCTCTTCCTAAAGACAGAATAGAACAGTCACCTCCATTTTCAGTTACTGGCCTGGATTTTGCTGAACCCTTATTTGTGAAAGATTCTGATAGTTAGTTTTACATCATGCTATGCACCTGTGCAGTTACACGAGCGATACAACTGGAAATTGTTTCCAGTTTAACAACTGAAGCATTTTTACTTGCTTTTTGTCGCTTCATTTCCAGAAGAGGACTTCGTTCTGTTATTTATTCAGACAATGCTTCAAACAAGCAGAGTTTGAATTGAAAAAAATGTGGAATATTTTGAGCAGTTCTGAAGTGAGTGAGTTTTATTCCTCAAAGGGAATAAAGTGGAAATTCATTGTTGAAAGAGCACCCTGGTGGAGTGGATTCTACGAGCGAATGGTTCGTTCAATGAAAATCATTCTTAGGAAATTACTGAGGAAAACATCTTTGACTAGTGAAGAACTAGGAACAGTTCTATGTGAAATAGAAGCTGTGATTAACTAAGCCTATTACTTACGTGACTACAGACACTCCAGATACTTTTCCTCTAACGCCATCCCACATGCTACTTGGAAGACGATTAATAAGTTTACCGTCAGTCAAGTTATCCGGTATTAACTGCATGATTGACAAAAAAATGATAATTAAAAAATTTAAATATCGAGAAAGACTTATAAATCAATTTTGGAAGAAATGGTAAAGGGATTATCTTTTAAATTTAAGAGCTGTCAATTATGTAAATTTGGATAAAGGTAATCAAAATTTTAAGGTAAATGATATTGTTTTGATTCATGATGACAAACTTCCAAGGAGCATGTGGACACTTGGAAAAATTGTGGAAACATTTCAAGGAGTTGTTAACAAAATAAGATCATGTGCTTTGAAAACAGATGTGTAAATAATAAAATGTCCTATAAATTTATTATATAATTTAGAAGTGAACAATTAAATTAATATGAACATTCTATTTGAACTTTAAATTCACATTTATTATTATTTGAACATTTTATTTTACAGTATTACTGAAAATAATCATTTAACTTACAAATTAAGTTTATCTTAAGATATTATTTGAACTTTTTTGATTTAAAGAAAATATGCATACATATATATTTTCTTGTTTAAATGCATGTTTGTTTAAAATTGAAATATTTTGCATGTGAAAGAATTTGTGTTGTGAAAATTGCTTGATTTATTATTCATGATATGATAATTTAATTTCATCAATTGATATTTACTTAAATTTCAATCATTTCATTCATAAGGTAATAATTTGTTAAAACTTTGAACTAATGCTCATGAAACATATTATTTTAAGGAATTGATTAATATTATTGCATTATAATCTTTATATAATTAAGAAGGGCTCATATTGTAAAAAGGTAAGATTATATTATTTTTTAAATATTGGTACCTTACATTTGAGAAAAATGACTTTGATTAATATATGAAATGACTAAA